GTGCGTGCGTGTGTGTGTGTGTGTGTGTGTGTGTGTGTGTATGTGTGTGTATGTATGTGTGTGTATGTATGCCTGTGTGTGCGTGCGTGCGTGTGTGTGTGTGTGTGTGTGTGTGTGTGTGTGTGTGTGTGTATGTGTGTGTATGTATGTGTGTGTATGTATGCCTGTGTGTGCGTGCGTGTTTGTGTGTGTGTGTGTGTGTGTGCGTGTTTCTTGTGTGAGCTGAAAGACGCGAAAAATTATTGAAATAGCTATTACTCCAAGGGTTCAGGGGATCTCGTAGTCGAGTAGTCTCGACTAGAGCTTTCTTACTTGTTTAGGAATATATTTTCGTGTTGATGCAAAGAATTTACTCCAAATCCTAAATCCCTGGCTCTAATAACGGCGAAATACTTTACGTCTATATAGATAATAATATGGACATTTCACAAACTCAGTTAACTCTTTTCATTCCGTGACTAGCATAAATAACTCTCTATTGCTCGGCTGGGAGATATCCTGACTGCAAAAAATCTGATATATTATTGTTCCTCGTTTCGTTTATATTGCATAAATAACAATAATTCATTTGAAGCTCGCAAAAAATGTTAAAAGTACTCTACTGAAAATTTCGGGGGAAGATGGTCGCAAAACTCAGAAATATACAAAGTCTATTCGTACTGCGTGTATGCGTCTATATATATGAGTATATATTAACATGACCAAGTATCCAGCTGTTAGGCCTTTGAGAGGGTTGGATCCACACAGACGAGTACACAGACGAACATGGCTAGAGCGATTGTGCTCGTCGTGCTCACCAAGAATATACGATTTTTATAGCTCCGCCTTTTTCTTCAAATCCATAATACCCCAATTTCCCATTTTCCATTGCTTTCAGGGTATACGTATTGTACAAACTGAAATAAATAACACTTGCATAACTATGTAGTAAGATTTAGACATTATTTACAAAATACCAGACAGTATCTTGAAACGGCACTCGTCTGTTCCTGGCTTTATCATTCAGATAGCGTCTACTGAAATAGAGACTTTCAATTAATCAAGAAACCCACCAGACGTTATCTCCGTGACAAAGCGTAATTTTTTGTATATTTCTAATATGTTTTTAAAGTAAATGAATATAAGAGAAATGTCTCTAAATAGATCGTAACTTCTATATAATTTAGAAAAATGATTTAACTGATTTTCAATTATTGATCAGCACATAAGAACTTATTTTTAAGACAGCAGACAGACAGATAGACGGACACATTGACGGACAGGCGGACAGCAAGATGGACATTGTAAAAAGGCAATAGAGAGAAGCTCCCACACTCCCACGAGCGAAATGCAAATTGTATCCGATAAATAGCAGCACTGTCCAACGTATAGTATATTTTTAGTAAATATCTAAAATGAGAAGTGTTTTCACCGGAAACTCATATCGCACACACGTGGCCACATTTTCGAGTGGTTCCTTTGCCTTAGCCGAAATCAAGTGTGCACCACTCAAACCTGTACATACATTTACATACATATATGCATACATACATGCATACCTACTGACAACGTAATAACGTATCGACGTTGGATTAGAATTGATATTGATAAAATAGTTTATACTTATTTTTGTCTGAAGAGATAACCAGAAGATAGAAGCCACCTCCAACTGGCCTATATAAGCGCCAGCACAATTCGATTAAGACATTGTACGAGCAATATGTTCAAGTTCGTGATTCTGTTGTCTGTCGTTGCCTGCGCCTTTGGTGCTGCTATCCCTGAGGGTCTCCTGCCCCAGTTGGATGGTCGCATTGTTGGCGGCACTCCCACCTCCATCAGCAGCTTCCCCTGGCAAATCTCCCTGCAGCGTAATGGCGGCCACTCCTGCGGTGGTTCCATCTACAGCTCCAAGATCATCGTGACCGCTGCTCACTGCCTGCAGGGCGTGTCCGCCTCCAGCTTGAAGGTGCGCGCCGGTTCCAGCTACTGGAACTCTGGTGGCTCYCTCATCCAGGTCGCTGCCTTCAGGAACCACGAGGGCTACAACCCCAACACCATGGTCAACGACATCGCTGTCATCCGCCTGAGCTCTGCTCTGTCCTTCAACTCCAACATCAAGGCTATCGGTCTGGCTACTTATAATCCTGCCAACGGCGCTGCTGCTTCCGTCTCTGGCTGGGGCACCCAGTCATCTGGATCCAACTCCATCCCCGCCCAGCTGCAGTACGTCAATGTGAAAATTGTCAGCCAGGCCAGTTGCGCCTCCAGTTCCTACAGCTATGGTAGCCAGATCAAGAACACCATGATCTGCGCAGCTGCCTCCGGCAAGGATGCCTGCCAGGGTGACTCTGGCGGCCCATTGGTTTCTGGTGGTGTCCTCGTCGGTGTTGTCTCCTGGGGTACTGGCTGTGCCTATAGCAACTATCCCGGTGTGTACGCTGATGTCGCTGTCCTCCGCTCCTGGGTGGTCAACGCTGCCAACTCTGTCTAAGAACTTTGATCAATAAAGCCCGTCTAAACACATACATTTTTGTTTGTTTTCATAATTTTCCTGATGAACATGATAATGTTGGTATTTCATTTCATTTCTTATTAAACTGATTTCTTAACGCATCGTACGTTTACGTACTGGAATGGATTCGTGTATTCTTATTATTATGTATATAGATGACACTATGATTGAAACTATAGCTTTACAAAGTGTTCAGAAGAGGAGGGCAAAAGCACAATTTTTTATTTTTCCAACTTTTTATACCGTGAACCCATTATTAATGGGAAATCAGGGTATAATGATTTTGTTAAAAGTATGTAACAGGCGGAAGCAGACGTGGCAGACCCCATAAAGTATATATATTCTTGATCAAGGCGACGAGCTGAGTCGATTTAGCTCTGTCCGTCTGTCTATCCACAAGAAAAGTTATTAACAATTAAGTTTCCCTAGTAAAGCACCACTGCTGCCAATGCCTTTGTGTGTGCATGTGGGAATTATTATTGAAATATCAGTTGCTGAAAGGGTTCAGGGGATCTCGTAGTCGAGCAGTCTCGACTAGAGCCTTCTTACTTGTTTATATAAATGTAGTACCGATAAATTACGTGAGAATGTAAAGACAACAGACCCTATCTGAACTAACTGAACTACTTGAAATTTTCCTGAATCTCTAGGATCCCACTCTAGCAAAGGTTCAGTTTACAGCTCCTACATCATCTTAACAGCTGCTCCCTGCATACAGCATGTGTCTGCCTCTATGTTTAAAGGATCCTCACCTAAATCACTGACTTCTGCAGTCTATAGCTTCCATAATACTATACTCTTTGCATTCCTCTCTCCTAATTCCAAGATCAATGGTAATATTCTAGCCCGCTTTATTCCTGGTAGCAGTGCTTCTGTTTTCGTATCTGGTTCAAACTCCATATTCACTCTCTATTAGCTAGTTATAAACGGAAGTTACTCTGCTGGCCCATTGCCTCTGGAGTCTATCTAATTGAATGTGAATGAAATGAGACTGTTCAAATCGTTATAGCATTAATGTTTTATTGGCAATAGTTTCGGCCTACTGCTCACGAGCCGCTGAGTTCCAGAGGCGGCTCTTGGTCTTGACATTGGCCTTATCCTGTTTGCTGATGGGGCGCAGATGCGCTGCATCAACAATATCTCTGCGGGAGTCAATTTTTAGATGAATTCCTTTGAGGTGTGATTGGGCTTGGAGGAGTACTCACTTGAACTCTTCGTAGGTCTCGGTGTTTGTCACCGCCCTCAGCTTAGCATCGTTGCGCAAACTGTGGAGCTCCTCCTTGCGCAACAGCTCGAGACAGTCGTCCGCCAGCCGATGCAGCTCCTCAGGTGTTATGTCTAGGGAATCAGACATCTGGCTGAGTAAATGTCAAAATATTTACAAATACAAAATGCGATAGCTAATCGAAGCGAGTTTGCTTGTTTGACAACGGTTGCCCGGGCGACCAGTTCGAAGAGCTCGCTTTTGATAAGCCATTAACAGGCGATTAACGTTTACAGCTTGTGATAATACATTAGACCAAGGTGCATTCAGTTACCACTTGACTTCCGTGTGTGTTCCCCGACATGGCCTCCAGCTCCGGTCTCACACTTTTGCCGCTGATCGGCTGCTTCCTTGGCGGACTCGCATTGCCACTGAGCCCGGACCTGCGCCTTGGTCGCATTGTTGGCGGTGATAGCCTGCCAATACACAATGCACCCTGGCAAGCCTCCATACAGCTAAGCGCGCGACACATTTGCGGCGGCGTCATCTACAGCAAGGACATAATCATTACAGCGGCCCACTGCGTGGAGCACAAATCCGTAACGCTGCTGCAGGTGCGTGTGGGTGCCAATCAACACAATTCGGGCGGCTCGCTTTACCCAATCGCCAGCTACAAGGTCCACGAGTCTTACGATGACCAACTGCTGCACTACGATATTGCGCTTCTGCGGCTGGCCACGCAGCTCAACTACAGTCTGTCGGTCAAGGCGATTGCCTTGGCAAGCTCGAGTCCCGTAGCGGGCAGCAGCGTCTCCGTCAGTGGCTGGGGCTACACCGGACAGAATGGATCCACTAGCTTCGCCAGCAGCCTGCAGTTGGTGCAGCTGCAGGTCATTGATCGAGCCGAATGCGCATCCGCCAAATACGGTTATGGCTGGGATTTTGTGGGCGTTGAAATGATTTGTGCATCAGCTGCCGATAAAGATGCTTGCACTGGCGACTCAGGCGGTCCCATGGTGTCCCAAGGATTGCTGGCAGGCATCGTGAGCTGGGGCTACGGTTGTGCGCAGACGAATTATCCGGGCGTTTACGTTGATGTGGCTGTGCTGAGGCACTGGATAGTTAAGACGGCAAATGATTTGTGAAATCAATAACTAAAAGTCAGTCAATTAAAATAAATGGCTCCAACTTAAGCAATAATACAATATTTAAATTTAGAAGGCATTCGCGCAGTTCAACGAATTCGCCGCAAATGCTTTGCCTTAGAGAAAATATTCGGTTTATATTAAATTGGTATGCATTTGGTATTTTTTAGGGCATTTTTATCCCAAGAAAAATTAATTGACATTTTCACAGGAGAGTGATATACATAAATAAAATAAAATAAAGGAAAACGAAATCAGTTTAAATTGCAGTATCCGCCCCCCAGGTGGAATCGAACCACTTCGACGTTAATCGACTACGGATTTGAAGTCCGCACCCCGGACCACCGAAGCTCAGTGGGGCAGCTTTTCACTACAATTAGTTGTATTTATACGAGTAACGGTCAGAAAAAGCACTTGGGAATTCTAAAAGTGATACCAACTTTTATCACCACGGAATATCAAAGATTTGTATCTACAAAAGTAACCCATAAACCCTTTTATTTCAATTAAGAGCATGGCGCAAAACTCCATTTGGAATGATCAATATTAATGAAAAGTTATCAAACATATTAGTAGTGCAAAAATACAAGGCATATTTAAATTAAGGTCGCTCTCAAAGCAATCAAATACAACTTATAACCAGTACGAATTATTCATTTGCGTGGCTGCTGTATGTGTATCTGGGGCTTCTGCTGCACCGCCACCGGCGGCTTGTGCGAATGAGCCACCTGTGCTCCAGCAGGCGTAAAATCTGTGTTACCTTTAACAGGTGCACCGCTAACTGAGGCCGAATTAACATTGACTGGTTGCTGTAACAAAAACATTTATAACACATTAAATAAAATTAAAATTAAAGAATATCCATATTTACCGTTAGACCCGTACAATCCTCGGCGTCCTTAGCTGGTCGCTCAGAAGCAGGCGCTTTATGCTGCACAATGCGCATCCCACCAGCCTTCACTAGAAATAGATATTACTACGTCATCAGAAGTTTTTAGATTTTGATCAATGCCCAAAAGACAAGCCAACACATACATACATACATATATGCATGCATGTGTGTGCGTGTATGGAGGCGCTTTATCAGCAATCGCCTCCTCAACAGGCAGGCTGTGATAAGAGCAATGATATTTAGGTTAATATAATAGAAATTGATCAATTTAATGACTCCAAATGCGCAATTGACTAATAAATATCGAGAAAATTTATAAAAATCCAGCAACATGTCATTAAAAGATTACATACAAAACACGCGCATACCCAACACACACAATGGAAGAGAAACTGTAAATGCACTTACATGCAGGTGGGTGTCCAGCTACTAGATTCGGTTGTTCATCTGCCATGTTTTAAACAAATTGCAATCTAAAAAGTAGGCAAAATAAAAATCGGCTTAAAAAAAAACATATTTTACCAATAACCTCTAATAAGGAAAATAAGCGTTGGCTAGTTTCTGCGTTTTAGCTGGTGACACGAATGCAGTTTAGTTAGCGATGAGCAAATCACGGCGACTCACGTACACGGTCTGGCAACAACCTAAAACATAAACAAAACAAAGGCGCTGCCAGAATATCACAAAATATCGATGACAAATCATTCATCGCATGCAGTTACTTGCCGAATTCGTAAAAGATTTCATCAAAATTTGCCGTATTAAGTAAGAATAGAGTCAGTTCTCACATAATTTAAAAAACAAAAATCATACGAATTTAAAATGAAAGACACTAGGGTAGGTAGTGGTAAATATAGTTCTTACAGTTACATCACCACAAAAAGCAATTTGACCTTTGTGAACCATGAAGACAATTGAACTTCGTTTCATGTTTTTTCTGTTGCTGCTGCCAATGACAACTACAAATAATTACAACAACGCACCCATACAATTACAGCCATTCCCTCCATTGAAAAATGACAATTTGCTGCGTGCCGCACGTGGCGAAGTCGTGGATCGCGTCCCAGTTTGGGTGATGCGCCAAGCAGGACGCTACTTACCTGAATTTCAGGAGCTCCGCAAGCTACATGACTTTTTCACGGTTTGTCGTACTCCAGAGCTGGCCTGCGAGGTGACAATGCAGCCGCTGCGGCGGTTCGATCTGGACGCCTCCATAATCTTTTCGGACATCTTGGTTATACCTCAAGCATTAGGATTGACGGTGGAAATGCACGCCGGTGTAGGTCCTGTGCTGCCCCAGCCCATTCGCACGCCTGAGGATCTGAAACGATTAACTCCAGACGGTGCTCTGTCCCGGCTCAGCTATGTGGGCGATGCAATAACGATGATGCGCCACAAGTTGGATGGTCGTGTGCCTCTGATAGGCTTCACAGGCGCACCATGGACTCTCATGGGCTATATGATCGAAGGCGGCGGCAGCAAGACCATGTCTAAGGCTAAGGCTTGGCTGTACGACTACCCGGAGGACTCAAAACTTTTGTTAAATCTGCTCACAGATGTCATAGTGGACTATCTGGAAATGCAGGTGGCAGCGGGCGCTCAAATGTTGCAAGTCTTTGAGTCATCTGCCGAGCATCTGACCAAGGACGAATTTTTGGTCTGGTCGGTGCCCTTTCTGCGTCGCATACGCGACGACCTGGTAGATCGTTTAACCAAGAAAGCTGTGTCTACCGTGCCATTAGTGAGTACCTCTCCATGACTGACCTCATCTCGGATAACTTCACTAAATGTATTTTCAGACGATTTTTGCCAAGGGCGCTGGACATTCGCTTAAAGAGCAAAGTGAACTCGGCTACGATGTCATTGGATTGGACTGGACGGTGGATCCGGTTGAGGCGCGTGCAGCAGTTGGACCTAATATAACACTACAAGGCAATCTCGATCCGCAGGATATGTACCGTGATCCCAGTGAATTACATACGCTTACCACCGATATGGTTCACAAATTTGGCAAATCACGCTACATTGCAAATTTGGGTCATGGCATAACGCCACAGACACCCATAGCTAGCATGGAGGTACTCGTCGATGCGGTGCATAAAGCATTGTAGAATAGAATTACGATTGGTATGCAATATCCGCATAGTTGTATTTACTTATCAAATACAATTTTGCCTTGGGGTAGGGAAATAAATGTTAGTTACAAAAAAGGAGATATTGTTTTAAATTATGGCTAATCTAATTTATCGTACTAATAATACTATAGCTTGTTATCGATAGCTTTTAGACAATTTAAATTGCGGGCCGCCACTAACATCACTAAGTTTTTTATTTATAGAAAGATCTTGATCTGTATTTCATTTTTTTTTATTTTAATATTTAGTTTCATATTGCATTCAATTACAATCGAATCGAAATACTAATTGAATTCTATATGTTGTATCTGCTGTTCCTGTATCAACTTATCATATAACATAAGTATACTCCCGCAGCATATTAGCAAAGTTCCCATGATAATTTCTGAAATGATAAGGATTATAAAAATAAATCAAATCAAAAATTTATGGAAATTAGCAGTCACTACTTTTGCCAGGCAGTTGCTCTCCGAGCAGAAATCCAGTTATAGCTGTGAAGGCGAAACTTAGTGAATTTGCAAGCGGTACAGCTATAGTAATATTAGCACTTCGTAATGTCCACACATAGAGCACACTTCCGCACTGATTAAGTCCAAACGGAATCCAATAATGCAGACGTGAGCCGATCATTCGAACTTCGGCAAGAAAATTTCTATATCTAGAGCCCGTGTCCTTAACATTCTCAATGCCTTGGCTGCCCAGCCGTATAAATGGATTCGTCACACCCCACAGCAGACCAACAGTCAGTAGTTGCACTAAAATTAGTATTACATTACAAATGACAAAGAAAACAAAAAGCTATTTAATAATATTTACACGCAGTTGACAGCATTGTTTATGTACATCAGCTGTGCCGCCGGCTGTCATATTCCCAGGGTTGCTTGCAATACTTACCAACACTATTTGCGAGAGACGTTGTCAGCACTGGACAGCTGTCAGATTCTTTTACGTCAAGCTTTCATTTCCTATAGGTGGGTTTTTGCATATTACCCGAAATATAATCACAAAACATCGCAATTTACATCAATAATATTGCAATGAAATGTATGAAAACACTAACTGCACATAAAATGCTTTACGTGACTACCAAAATGTTGTGGCGATCAAAGTGCTGTGTGCGTTTGAAGGCCGATTGTAAATTGCTCTTGTTTTGATTGGCATACAAACCATTTCAATTTTAATATTTAATCAAAAACTGACTTATTACTTACTGCTTAAACAGGATACTGAACAGCAATAGCAATGGCAAAGACCAAGGGCGAGAAACGCAAGAAGTCGGCGATCACCGAAGTTGTCACCCGTGAGTGCACCATTCACTTGGCCAAGCGTGTGCACAACATTGGCTTCAAGAAGCGTGCGCCGCGCGCCATCAAGGAGATCCGCAAGTTCGCCACGCGCGAGATGGGCACCAATGATGTTCGCATTGACACTCGCCTCAATAAGCACATCTGGTCCAAGGGTATCAGGTAAGTCCTCACACATACATATACACACTCCCACCCTTCAATACTAATAATACTATTTCATTGCTCCACAGATCGACGCCATTCCGCGTGCGTGTGCGTCTGGCACGTCGCCGCAACGACGATGAGGATTCTCCCAACAAATTGTACACACTGGTCACTTATGTGCCCGTGCCCACATTCAAGAACCTGCAAACGGAGAACGTTGAGTCCAGCGACGATTAAGCTAAACAGCAACAAAACACACAGAATACAGTTTACGCCGCTATCAAAAATACGTTAATAAAAAGTAATTTTTATTTAGAAATAACTGAAGCCTAAAATTTGTGTCTTAAAGTCATGTGCACTGAGACGCCAAACAGGTTGACAGGAGGATATAATATAACGCCATTTAGGATTAAATATTTTGGAAATGTAATACAACATTGGACATAGCGATATTTCGTCGATGTATAAAATGCCGCATGTTGAAGCGCCTCTGTGGCCGGCAGGGAATAGTAAATATTAATGGATATAGTCATTTACTTAGTCGTTCGCTAAATATAAATCGAGTATATTCAGCACAAGCTACATATTTCATTATTAGATGAAGTGTTGGCCATCAGTTTGTAATATAATCTGCTTTGTGCGCTCTACTGAAAGGTCTTTATTTCAGAGCTCTAATCTGGAAAAACAGATTAGAAGCGGGTTTCATCCTCACAGCTGAAGACGCAAAAATCGCAAACTAATAAATTAGCATGATACAATATATCGAAGAACCCAATTTTAGCACATTCTTGAGGCTTAGTATATGATTATTACCCCCGCTCTGCGAATAACAAATGGCTGAAGCATTTCAATTACAGGCAAACCTTTCTGCTTTCGTTTGAATTGCAATACGTTATGTGTAGCATGCACGTTCAATCTGTATGATGATGAAAAGAGAGTAGGAAACTACTACAGAAGCTACATATGTATGTGTGCGTGAGGAATATTTTATTTAATAATATATTAACAAATTCAATTTATTATCTCATAGCAATACATAAAGGAAACAAGAGGTAAACAGTATATATACACTTATATATAATAACAATAATACACACAAAATAATTAATTTAGCATGAGACTAGAGCCTTATAAATTGTGGACCAACTAAATATATGCCCTCTCCATTGGATAAAGCCAAAAGCTGTTTTTCCGCTAATTCCAATCTTTGCAGTGAGAGTGCAGCAGGCAATGTGCTCTCGCCTAGGAGCTGCTGAAAGCCTGCCACTCCTTGATGCTGGTAAATTCGCAGCGTTTGTGTGGGCGAAGCATTGCTTAAACAGAGCAGCAGATCCTTGGATTTGTGCAGATGCATGAGAAGTAGCTGACGCGGTTGCACAGACTCCTCCAAGTCAAAGATTTGCGCCAGCTGGTAGTCCAGCGCATTACTGTCCTTACTATATACATATATATATGAACGTAGATTAGTATTAGTTACATCACATAAACTTGTAAACTACTCGCCTGTATACGTAAATGGCGGGTGCTGGGGCTGCAGTCAAGACGGCCAGGAAGCTACGATTCTCGTGCCTCGCCAGCGTCATTTGCTCAGCCTGCATCAGTGACAGTCGCTGCTGCAGCATATAGTTGCCATCTGAGGTCCACTTCCAAAACTCCACAGAGTTGGCGACAAGCAGGGCCAGTACATAGGCATTCCTGTCCGCAGTTGGATCTATCAGCTGTTTCACTTGCCCAGTTGGAATCGTGGCTTGCCGAGTGATAGTGCTATCAATGCTATCATTGGCTGCACAATAGATGTCCAGTGCTGAGAGCTGCTTCTGCACTGCTAAACAATCTTGGAACTGCAGACGCAAGGGGCTTAGGAACAAGGCGTTGCTCTTGACAGCTGAAAAGCGATCGCTGTGCGCATTGGCAAATTTCTCATCGGGTTGCAATAGTTGCGCCAGGCCTGTAAAAACAAAACACAAAACAGACGCGTAAACATATGAGAGAGCATAACGGCGAAAGTGTAAGCAATGTGGACGACGATAGAATACCCTTCAAATTTAGAATACTATTTTATAACAAACGAATTTATATGGAAAAGAAAAACAAAATTGAAAATAATAACTAAAATCTATATTGAAATAAAAACCATATTTATAATTGAATAATCAAGTAAAATTGGATTTAAATCAATGCAAATTGAAGAGTAATTAGGGGTGTATTAACAATCGATGCAATTATGTAAATACATATTAAGTATATTAATCTTTAATTTTTGTAAACCAAGTTTTCGAAAGGTTTGCTTTGGAAAATTGTCCACTGGTCGAATATCCCCCATTCGACATTTAGCTAAAACGTAAATCACAACGAAATTGATAAGGGGCAAAAAAGTGGTTTAGATTTGTTGTGGGACTCTTTAAAAGCAGCGGACTCGCAACTGGACTTACATTCATCGAGCAGCGAGCTGAGAATTCTAATATAATTGATCCAAGTTAAATACGCATTGAGAAAATGCTGAGAATTTATTGTTGGCTGCTTTGTTGTGCAGCGCTGGTCACGCTAGGCCAGTCCACGAAGGTGGAGAACACCGAGGCCAGCAGCAGAAGCAGCGCCAGCGCCACAGAGAGCCCTATCCCCAAGTCGACAGCATTTCAAGATGTTAGCACGGAGGCTGTTCGTACTACTGCAGCACCTACTACAACTACAGAACAATCTCAAAGCAACGCAGCGAATGGATCGAATCTAACGCTGCCCATGGTCATCAATACATGGAAATTCCCAGAGGCCAATGCGTTGGCGTGGCGTATACTCAAGCAGTCGGAGGGAGGGCTGCGGCAGACACGGAACGCCGTCGTCGAGGGCTGCACCAAGTGCGAGCAGATTCAGTGTGACGGAACAGTCGGCTACGGCGGGTCGCCGGATGAGCTGGGCGAAACCACCTTAGATGCCATGGTCATGGATGGGGCGACTATGGATGTGGGAGCTGTGGCCGGTTTAATAGGCGTCAGGGATGCCATACGTGTAGCTAGATACGTGTTGGAGCGCACAACACACACCATGTTGGTGGGACAAGGAGCAACGAACTTTGCCGTGGCTATGGGATTCCGCACTGACTCGCTGGTAACGCCCGAGTCGCGAGCCATGTGGCAGCAATGGAAAGCACAGAATTGCCAACCAAATTTCTGGCAGCGGGTCAATCCGGATCCGAAGATCTCGTGTGGTCCTTACGCGCCCAAGGCAACGCCCCTGACTCGCTGGAAAGAGGATCGTGCTCGCACCGAGTATAAGATTGGCCAGCAGCATCACGATACCATCGGCATGGTGGCCATCGATGCCAATAACCAAATACACACAGGCACCTCCACCAACGGGGCCCGCAACAAAATTCCCGGTCGAGTAGGCGATTCACCCATTGCCGGGGCCGGCAGCTATGCGGACAATGAAGTGGGTGCAGCTGTGGCGACGGGCGATGGCGACATTATGATGCGCTTTCTGCCCACATTCGTGGCCGTGGAGGCAATGCGGGCTGGTAAGGCGCCCGCCGAGGCAGCTGCCGAGGCTGTCAAGCGAATCGTAAAGCATTACAAGGACTTTGCAGGCGCAGTCATTGCGGTAAACCGACTGGGACACTACGCAGCCGCCTGCTACGGCATGCCCGACTTCCCTTTTGTCGTCAGCAGCCCGGCTGAGGCAACTACAGTGAAGACAGTCAAGTGCATGCCGGCTAACGCGGATATTGAAGTTGTGACACTGAAAAAAACATTGTAAAGTTGATTTTCTAGTAATGAAATAAAAAATACACAAAATGAAAATAAATGCATTTTAATTTCGAAGAAACAGTCTTTGTAAGTGTTGCAAAACGATGCAGAATCTATTCATTCGCCTTTTATAATTATGCCCGCACATCCGCACAATGTTTTCTATTGAATTTAACAGGAAATAGTTGCTTAAAATATGGGAGGATCAAAATTATATATGATGAAATACATTTTAAAATAACAATTTAGGTAATTATTGAACGCATACGTTCAATTAGTATTCAGTTAAACTGAAGTATTAATTACTAAAATAGTCAAAATTAAATAGAAATGTTATTACAAAAATAAGGATTAAACATCGAATTCAGCTTTTTTATTATTTAATTATTGAAACCAACATTTCTTTGCTTCATTTTAATCGCTTTGTTAGTTTGCGAGTGCTGCAAAACGTGCTTCTATTTTTGCATTCACTTTTGTACGTGTTTTGAACAACACACGTTCAGATGGTATGATATGTGGCCAACAACAGCATTTTAAATATACCGATTCAGGGACAGTAATTTAATTGAAAGTCATTATAATAAAATGATAAATTGTGAATAAAACGGTAATATAAATAACTTATTTGGACCACTGTACACATATTGATGTAACAGATGTTATGTCTGGTTAGCCATCTTGTTGTCGCTGTCTGAACGTGGCTAGACCCATTCGATTATTTTCCGCCAAATCAGCGTCACAGCAGACGACGCGCCGCATACGTGAAAACGCGAAGTTGCAGAACGAAGCGAAAAGAGCGCAAACTCTAGAAAAGAGCGGCAGGGCCAAACATTAAGTGAAAAACTGGTCATAAAAAACGCCGTCAAAATTAATAAAAACGCGCAAAACGCAAGTCGCAAGTCGCTGACTAAAATGGCTATACAGCTGGACAAAATTCTGGCCGACATTGCCAAGGAAAAGGCTCTGCATCCGAATAATACGAGTGCCACCAAACAGGAGCAGGACGATGCTTGGGCGCGAATTGGGCGCCTCAACAAGCTCACTGTGCATGAGTCGCGCTCTATTTTCATAGTTCTGCAAAAGAAATACGAACAGGAGAAACTTAAAGGAAATTCAGGATGGAAATTGTATGGACTAATGCAGAAGATCCATCAGGAGCCGAAGATCAAGACGGAAGAGTGAGTGGGCAAAATAATTGAATTTAAATAATCATAAACTAACTATTTGCTTTGCGTTGATTAGTGAACAATTGCCCATGGAGGAAGTAGAGGAATATGAAATGTTGGAGGTGCAGGAGCAGGAAGAAGATGATGATGGCTCCGCCAACGCGAATCCACGACAATTTGGTCAAGCAACCAATTCCACAGGTTCGGCTAGCTTAGATGGCGACAGTCCGACAAAATCGAGTAGCACTGGCGGCGGCACTCCAGAAAAGGACGTTAAGCCGTATGCAAAACCAAACGTAGATACACCGCGTCCAGCATTTGAAGAGAAGAAGCTGCTCAATACAATGGCCAACAATCCGCAGCGCTCCAACTCACAATCGAATGCGGTTTCCGTGGCAGCCGCTGCACTTCAAAAGAAGGGCATAACTTTGAAAAAGACGCCTAGCAGCGCCGCCGCAGCTGGACACAAGTCGGCGTCCGGAGCAGCGACACAGCAGTCGCAGTTGAGCAGCAATAAAACAATGTCCTCGGTACGCACCACAATTCAACTGCCCGATTCAATGAAACGCAAGCTCTCGGACGAATGCTCCAATACGCCGGTGCAAAAGAAGCTACAAAGGAATCAGACTAGCCCCAAGAGCACCCATACATCAGGAGGAGGAGGAACAGCGGTAGCAGCAGCTACAGCTACAGCCTCTGCCGAGCCCACAACTCCAACGAGTGCGACATCGAATGTGGTTCACACGACTACAGCTCAACTGCTGCAGGTAAAGAAGGATCGCGAGAGCAATCAGTCACCACCTCCAGGCATTAACATTATAACCATACCTGCCTCACAGCAGATCAATGGGAATCTTGTTAGTGGCGGCGCAGCCAACTCCTCGACAGGGGCTACCATGGCCTCCACATCCGTGGCCAGCACCAATGGCTATTCGCCGCATCTGGAAGAGCTCAATGAAATCATCTTTGATTCTGGCAAAGTGAATGCAAGCTCCCACAATACTGCTGAGATTATTAACTTAGGCAATTTCGACAATTCGCTGCCGCCGACATTCTTCAAGAATCTGTGCAACTCGACGCGCCACGAAGCCCTTGGCCTCTACGTGGCAAATGTGATGAATCGAATCTCACAGCGTGGCGCCGCCAAACTGGAGCTGGGCATACTTCGAGCCATCGTGGACGTACAAAGTGACGAGCTGGAGCAGTAACCGGCCACAGACGAGATTCGCAGAAGGAGCAATCCCCTCCCCCCTTAGAAGTAGTAAAGTAGAGAAGTGTTCGCGCAACAGATAACTCGATTTACGATTTTATTCAGTGGCGTTTACACGAGTTCTGGTTTACACTTGTCTGAGCCACTAGATATATAATATATAT